GCTCTATAACTCGGCCCCTAATTGACCTAGTGCGACCAAACTTGGTATACTTACACATCTTGGGGAGAAGGTGTGTGTCGCGTACCAAAACAAGGTTACTGTGGCTGTTTATTTGACCTTTACATTGACCTTGATCATATTTCCCTTCTGCTCTATAACTCGGCCCCTAATTGACCTAGCGCTACCAAACATGCTATACTTACACATCTTTGGAAGAAGGTGTGTTGCGTACCAAAACCAGGTCACTGCGGATTTTATTTGACCTTGACCTTGACCTTGATCATATTTCTCTTCCACTCTATAACTCGGCTCTTAATTGACCTAGCGCTACCAAACATGCTATACTTACACATCTTGGGAAGAAGGTGAGCAGCGTACCAAAACCAAGTCACTGCGACCTTTATTTAACCTTTACTTTGACCTTGATCATATTTTCTTTCCGCTCTATAACTCAGCTCCTAATTGACCTAGCGCTACCAAACTTGGTATACTTACACATCTTGGGAAAATGTGTCGCGTACCAAAACAAGGTTACTGCGGCTTTTATTTGACCTTGACCTTGACCTTGATCATATTTCCCTTCCACTCTATAACTCGGCCCCTAATTGACCTAGCGCGACCAAACTTGGTATACTTACACAGCTTGGGGAGAAGGTGTGTCGCGTACCGAAACCAGGTCACTGCAACCTTTATTTGACCTTGACCTTCATAATATTTTCTTTCCGCTCTATAACTCGGCCCCTAATTGACCTAGCGCGACCAAACTTTGTATACTTACACATCTTGGGGAGAACACGGGGGATACATGTAGTTGGCGACAACTGCCCTTTCTAGTTGTATTATTACTTATACGTGTAAGATAGTATGTCAATTTCTTGTGTTGCGATCACAATAACTGAGCGCGTCTCGCGGTTCCTCACAAGATCAAAATTCGAAATTTAGATTGTCTCTCAACCCTATCGGGGCACGAATGATTTGGAAACAGTCCGTTGCTAAATATTGGCGCCACTATAGCTTCAAAATTTGTCTTAACACCTCACACAATAGCGGTAAATGGTGCGAATTCAGCTCGTGCAAGATTACGATTTACAGCAATAGTACGCTAGCAAATATATATGTAAACGAATATCAGTACCACGAAGGTGAGTGATTAGTGGTCATAATAAGCTGAGGAACGTATACACTTGATTCTTTATTGATGGCAAATTTTGATGAGAAAAATCGGTTAAAAATGCGGGAATCGGGTGTGTAACTCTTGTGTTATTATCTACTCTTGGTAGTATCAAGAGCTAATAAATACCTTATTTATTACTCAATTTACGGTATTTATTAGCTCTTGGTAGTATCATGTATAACAACTTGTTTTGCATGAGCACACGAGGATGACGTTGAAACAGGCAGTGGTTGACTTCCAGCTTGCATTATTTCGAGTCGACTTGTGCTAGTTAACAGCACTAGGTGAGAGAAATCTACTTTAGCATATCAAGACAGCAGCCAGAAGTTTGAGGCCTTCCCTATCCGACCATAAGAATCGTGTGGCTCTGATTTTTTCAATTGATTGGAAATTTGCTGGACATCTCACAATAGGATAGTTGCGGATATATATATGACAATTTGTGTAGTTAATTTGTGAGCTTATTTTCTTCTCTACCTACTAATCCTGACCATGTTTGAGAGTTTATTGTTCGAGATAATTTTTAGCTCGCCTTGACATCGGCAAGCTGAGCTATTGCCATGGGTCGTCGTCCGTCTGTCCGTCCGTCCGTCCGTCAACATTTCGCTATGGTCAACGATAACTCAGGAACCGTTTGACCCACATGTTTGAAATTGGGTATAGTTGTTACTGCTATGCTCCCATATTAAACGTCCTATTTTGAAGCACGCTAGTCGACGTACTTTCGAGCCTCGGCAATTTTTTGGCAAAAATGGGAATTGCCATTAGTCAGTTCAGGTTCAACAGATTTTGCTCATTTTTGGTATGTGAATGAATAAGGGCCAGGGGTTTTGATATTTAAAAAAAAATTATGCAAATTAGGTAGGGTTTGGCAATTATATAGCATATTATATAGAGACAAACAGTCTGTGGTGTCACACTCGTCTGGTTCCTTTTACAAGATTTCATTGACAATATCTTTAATGGAAAATTGGTATTTCCTCTCC